TACCCGAACTAAACAAACTACTATCAGAGGAACTAGAATCGTCAGATGCGAAGACAGGAGCAGGGGTTGGTGAGCCTGGAACGTGTGAACAGCTACCTAAAACTAGGTTGGCCATGAAGTTATTCCCCCTCTCCACAAATTGGGCACCAAGGTATACACAATTGAAACAAGGCTCAGGGTTGGTAATGCTAGGACGGGAGGAGACTCTCACACTCTAATTTGGAGATTGAACAGGTGTAATAGCGTGAACTGGGGTAGAACCTAATGAAAGAGAGGTTGCCCTGAACGGGTTGCCCAAGTTACGGGGCTCAACATCCCGACCCCGGGTTGAGGAACCAGAAACCCTTCTACCTCGAAGACCCCTCCTACGACCACAGATCGAGGAGCGAGATGAAGAGGCTCCCCTACGGCCACCACCTCGATAGCCGCCTAGCAGAGCAGCCTGCGTTTCTTCCTCGGTCCGAGGTCTGCCATACAACCAGTACCTCTAACCAGGTGGTAGGCTTTGAATGAACCTTTCCTCTTCCTCCGCAAGTCGTTCTTCCTCTTAGGCGTCAATTTCATCACCGCGACCGAAGCTGCAGGGGAAAGTGGGCCTCCCTCGAATATCATAATTTCGCTCACCCATATCAGGAACTCTTCAAAGCAGGGTGTGTAAGGAATGAGCCAAGTGCAGATAAGCTCACATAAAGTGCAAGACCAATACAGAAGGTGCAATCACATAGAGAAGCAGGCAAGTAAATAAGCTTGGAATGAAGAAAGGCATTACAAAACCAGCAGCCATGGTCATAATTGAAAATTAATGAAGAACATGCCAGAAAAGAGAGTCAGAGTGAAAGAAAATACCTACAAGGGAAGGTGTTGAAGAAACTGGTAGATACTGGAGGAGGATGCTCTGGTAGGAAGAAACCCTTCAACAGCGAAGAGCAAACTCCTCAGGAAAGATTCGAAACAACAACAGAAACAAATGGATGATAAATGAGGCAAGTGGTATGAAATGTTGAAATCAAAGGATTAAAACCGCGAAAGCCAAAAGGCAGGGGAATTGCCGTAATTTTGCAATGGACAAGACAGTTGAGGGACGTTTTGGCAGAGGCATTAAATGCCAAGACGACAAGAAACACACCACGCCACACATCGCGCCTATTAGGAGAGAGCACGTGGAGGGATAATCATTAGAAGGAAGGGAAACCGTTTCTCACTTCAGAGCAATCATCAGATGGCAGTTACGCACAATCATATTCCGCGCTGCCGACATTTGCATCCGGGTTCCAATGCCGGGTTTAAGATCGTGACCTGTTTTAGACAAGGAACTCGGTTATTTATGCTTATAACTAGGCTTACAGAGACCGGGAACAGCTTCCAGGGGAAGCTGTCCCCCCTCAAGGCTAGGTAAGGGAGCTGAAGTAACAAAGCAGCCAGGTGACCGACTTCCGAATTAAAGCATAGCAGTCGGACTGGACATCCCGGCAACCTGAAGACTCAGTCTACCGGGCTGAGGGGCAACTGTTATGGACCAGAGAAAGGCCCACAGCAGCAAGAAGCCCAACCAACATTAGCCCAGAGGTAAGCTCTATAAATAGGACTAAAGACCACAGGTATGACTGATCTCTCTAACCCTATTTCATTTAAGACACGACAGTGCACACGCACACACCCTTTCTGGCTAAAGCCATCATATAGTCTGTAGTGATCAGCTGTCCCCAAGATACCTAGTTCATAGGTATCTAGAGAGAAAGTCCTAGATCCAACATCAAAGACCCGATCTTCTGTCGGACATATCTGCCTCAGGCAGAACAGATACTTTGGTGTTTAGCCTTGGGAAGTTACCACATTGGGAGGTACGCGTCGCTCCAGCTGATAAGGCTGACGTGGATGCTTGGTAGGTGCTGGACCTTGACTATTGGGCCCGACTCTTGTTGGGCCATCCGGAACAGAACCTTTGTTATATTTGTTTTTTAGAGCTGGGCCTATCAGTTCCAAGGTGACCTGCTAGAACAGAGATTGAAGAAAGCCTTTTACATTTGTAAGGTTGGATTTATGGTTCTGTTATATTAATACCCTCAAAGCGGCTATACTCACTAATTCTTTCAGGCTGAGAAAATGCTATTTTGCTTGAATAAAAGTTACTCGCTCTGATTTTTATATTCGTTCATATGAATAATTGTAACTACAGAGTACAGACTGTCTGCACCTACCTCCGTTGTACTTTCTTCCCTCCAATCATGTTGAGTGCCTGTTAAACTGATTACTCCACTCTTATATTATAAGAAGTCATAAAGTAATCGTGGTCAACTATAATCGAGGGAGGATGGAGGGCTGCTGAGGTGGGATTGTGGGAATGTGGGTTAGGCAAAGGGAGTAAAACGGGTAAGAGAGGCATTTCTGTTGGGCTAGTAACATTTTCAAAAATATTGTTTTTGTGCTAGATAATATTTCCAAAAATGATTTTTTTTCTCTATTTTTAATCTGGTGGACAAAAATGATTAGAAATTGTGTTTGGTAAGATTGGTATATTTTTGTTTTAGATGATGAATCGGTATAAAAAGTAGAAATAATTTTTTTAGCTTCAACGCATTCTGGGGATAAATATAGATAAAAAATATATTTCTTTTCAACACTAAAAGTATGATCGGACAAGCGGGTATAAATGTAAAATGGGTATTGCAACACCAAAACTAAGACGCTATCGATTGCATAGAATATAAAATATTAACAAATAAGGCATAATAACGATAAATTTATATCACTAACTACCAAAGATGCCGTGAACTCATCTCTATCGGCAATAGATCAGATTCATGGCTTCCGGGAGTGACGATAGCAATAGATCTAAAATTGCTGCCTCCGTTGCGAATCACCTTGTGACTTATGTTGTCCACTGTCAGACTATTTTCTCATATACATCATCTGTAAGGTTGACTTGTGCGTATATCCTTTTCTATTTCATTTTTTTATCTTTTATTTTTGAGCTCAAACGATATTAATATATACAATCAACCCGACTGGAACCAATCTCGAGTCGATGGGGTTAATTTGGTTTGGTTCGGGTAATTTTACTTTAACTCAACCTGATGCACACCCACCCTTATTACAAGTGATGGTAAGCATTAAAGTTAAGTTGAAAAAGGACAGGAGGCCGCTTGCATCTTTTCCTTTTAAAGCTTCAGAGATGATTGGGAGCATGGTTGAAAAGCAGGGTACTCTCTTTTAGGAATGTGAGATCACCACCAGAAGAAAAAAAAAACATAGGACACTGAGTCTATATACTTTAGTTGTGCAACGTACACATTTTGCACCAACTCACTCTCTGGACTTCATTTTCAACTACCACAGAACTCTCCCAACTTGGAAAAGAGACACCTACGTAACAAAATGTGGCTAAAGGGGGTGTTGCTAAAATTTAGCCATTGTTTTTCGCATTTATCCACAATTTGAAAGAGTGTGGCAGTATTTACTTAGCCACATTTTTTTGTATGCTGCCACATTAGAACAATGGCTATTTGATCATGCAGATCTTTTCACTCAGTATAAAATTAATAAGTTTTATTTCCAATCTCAACTATTAATTTTCGTCCAGATTATAATTTATAAATTTATATTTATTAATTAAATTTATTAATTAATTATTAATTTCAAACAAATAGGACCTTCTTCCTTAGCTTTTTCTTTTTTTCTGATTTAGAAGACTTGGAAATTTGATGCATGCCAATACAAACCGGAGTCAAGGCACCAAGCCAAGCGAAATTTCTATTGTGCTACTGCCGCACCATTGATTGGGTGCGGCAATCCAATTAAAGTCTCTTGTTTGCTGTGCTATGCATACGGAGCAAAAATTAAAAAGTAAAAAAATTCAGATGTAAATTTTTAAACGGCAATTGTATGTGCTACCGACGTATGCAAGACTTGCTCCAAGGCGAGGAAGCTCATTTTACGAAGTTTAAAAGGTGATTAAACAAAAGGACAGACCATTCTCTTTAAGTTTGTTTTTGCTGCAAGACCAGAAGCTCTAAAAAAGCCTAACAAAATCTGTCTTTAGAGGGGGCTGTGTGAACCATATCATTCACATCTAAACAAACACTGTAAGGGAAGTCGTCTTTGGTAGAAAATATCAGAGAAGCTTCGTTATAAACCCAAAACATTATGACATTAAGTTTATGATTCCTATCATTTATATATACATGTTTAACCCATTATTTTTCATTGGAGGGCTTTTTATGGCTCACACTCGAGTTCTCAATACTTTTGCCTTGCCTTGTCCAATGTTGTTGTTGTTTTCCTTTTTTGCACACATTCATTGCCTTCTCTCGTAGTGAATAATTTCTGCGCTCGAGAGTCACGTTCCCTTAGCTACACTGAGTCTGTCCCACCCAAGTTAAACTTCCATCGTAAACACTTCGTTTCACCAAGCAATAATGGTAACCCAATTACCAGCCAAGAGTCCAAGACCGATCTTCTTAGTTTCTACAAACTCGTCAAATTAACCCAATAAAAATAAGGGTTCGATGTTTGTTACACACACAAAGTATATGGGATCATACGAAGAGAAGAAAAGAAAGAAAGACCTACACACTTTTGTTAGTGCAGGAGATAATTTTATATCGTACTACGATTATTGGAGACATTAATCCCTAAAAATAAAATACCAAGAACACCCCTTAGGAGAAACTACTACCAGTGTATCAGTTACCAGTTACCACCACTGAACCAGTCTATGTGCCCAGCTTTCACGCAAAACTAGTTCTCCAAAATCCCTTGGTACTAGTGAATAGGTAAAATGGTGGAGTCTTATGAGAAATTAAAGAGACATACAATCTCCTCATCCAAAGCACGATGAAACAAAACCCATGTCAGGAATGAAAATTTATTTAGAAACTCAATAGATAAAAAAAAGCTAACAATTTCAACTTCTCATAAAAAACACAGGAGAATCACATTCAAGCCAGAAATTATTCAGATACAACTTAAAAGTTCACATAATGACTCACATATTGGTGATGTTAACCTCCTTTAGGGTGGACGGCATACCAAGTCTGGATGAAGGTGAGAACAAGAGCGATCGTGGCAGCCAACAAGCCAATGATGGTCCAGGGTGATCTGAAATAGTTATAGTAAGCCTCTGCTATCCAGCCCAATACTCTGATCCTGCCACGCCTGGACGCTAAATGGTTTCCAATCAGGCCTCTGATACGAAAAAGGTCGATGGTTTCAGGCACCAATATAAAGTCCATGTGATTAAAGAGATCAGCAACCTCTTCGTCATTAGCGAGGTTGTTGCGAAGGATGCCAGCAAGCCTGAGCTCCTTCACGTCCTCTGGGTGGTCAATGAGAGAGCTAAGGAAGACTATATGTGATGTGATCTCGTAGTCGTTACGAAAGTCAGGACACATCTCATATGCAATAAGGTTGTAGAAAGTGAGAGCTGTTGAGCCATCCACAATGAGTTTAGGAAGTCTTAGCTGTCGATTAACATAGAAGGGACCGAAATAGGTACCTTTCCTGTTAAGAATTCGAATCCCCGCTGCCTTCAGATCCCGTATGGTCCCAATCCTATATTTTCTGAGGTGCAGGGTTGTATTCCGTTTGGTTAAGGTTCCTGTAGAGACATAAAATTGGTCCCTTAGCAAGAGTGCCCTCCTCAAATAGTCTAAAAGATGAATCGGGTCCTCCTCCTCCTCCTCTTCTTCTTCAACTATTACAGTACTGTGCTCTCGCGACCCTTCCCTATCTGCCTCCATCATGCTTGGCCTTGGTGCCTCAACAATACGATGAATTTCAAGGAAATTTTTCATGCATCTCTTTAGCCTGTCTTTATCGTCTCCGCATATCAGCTTGAGCACTATGTAGGGAATTTGGTTCTCCAAGAGGAGCATTTCCTGATGCACACGCACAAGCTGCTCAATGCTAAGCTCGAGTTTATCTCCTGGATATATGGAACGGTCCAACAATTGGAGTACCGAACACCCATCCACTACCAACATTTTTTTCGAAAGTAAATTCAAGTACTCTCCTGTAAGTATCTCGATACATTGTCGGTTGTCAGAAATTCTATGAAATAAATTATCGAAGGTTTGATTAGTTTGCTGAAGATATATTTCTGTCCATCTAATCTTGTATGGCAGTCCTTGCTGCACGTAAGGTTTAAGCATATGGATTGGACCAAATGAAATGAACTTAGGCACGTAGAATTCTTTCAACTCTACCCTTGCTCCCATATAAGCTGGAACTCTTTGGAGAATACTGGGCTTCGAAACTTCATCAACTAAAGGTTCCGGATCTTTTCCAAGTCTACCGTCTATCCCGTCTATCCATTTCGATGCCTCACGACTAAGAGTTTCTTCGTCCATTTTTTTGATGCGCGAGCGAGGTATAGAGAGGTTTGGTAGTTTAGCCTTTCTAACCGAGACTTCCTTTGCTTTTCAAGATTAAAAATTATAAATTGTGATGGACCAAAATATATTCGGTCTCATGGTAACTCGTCTACTTTGTGATGGCGTGAAACACACAATATCCAGAGAGTTATTATTTCACTTCACTTTTGGTACAACATTTGTTTCATTTATTCAATTAAACTTCTATTTGTCATTTATCTTTGGAATCAAATATTCATTACTTCTATTGCACTTTTATTTTTCATCCTTAGAAGGGTTTCTTATTTAACTTTTTTTTTTTTACAGAATTAAAAGCCTATTGAACTTTTAATTTTCAAGTTTGGGAGAACTTATCATTTGAATTTCTTGCCACTTATTTTTTTTATATGAAAGCTCGATTGCCACTTTTAATTTTGAGCCCCAGAAGAAGGCTTTATCATTCAAAATTTGGTGTCATTTATTTTTTAATAATTTGACTCCTTACACTTTAATTTTTAGGTTTTGAGATCTTGTCTTATTTGAGATATCCAATTAGTTTTCAAATATATATCTAAAAAAGGAAAAGAAATACCAACAAAACCTGGTAAATTTTGTAGATAGCTGAGTCCCTTAATCATGCTGATAAAGGTTCGATCCTTGATCGTATATATGGAAGAAACTTTGTTGGGAGAGGATACCCACTTCGATGATAATAAAAATAAATAAAAAATAAAAAGAGAGATGTTGTGAGTCCTTTCTTTTACAAATTTTAGTTGTCATGATGTACAATTTTTTTTTTTTTTACTTGTCATGCATCGTTAAGCATTTCAACTTCATTGTGCATTATATTCATCATTTAAGTTAAACCCCTTTTTAAATTCATTGAAACAAAATTGTTTCTTTAATAGTTTTTAAGTTGTGTCCTCACATTATCTACATTTAGTTTCTTTTACATTTATTCATCTCCGATCAAAATATAATTTTATGTCTTTATTTTTATTTTTTTTAGTAAACAATTTTATGTCTTTATTTAATAATGTGAAAATAAAATTTAAATCTAATAAGAATAAATAAAGAGAAATATCATTGTTAGCTCCTATGTAGCACCGATACTGACACGGGACACGTGACATGACACGACACGACACTCCGACACGTTAATTCTAAAAAATGTTAGATTTCGACACATTATGACACGTTTTGATATTAAATAATATTTTTAATTTATGTAGTGTATATTATGTTTAATATTCAATAATTTAATAAAAAAATGAAGTTAAACTTATAATACCTATTAATTTGCAAAGAAACACAAGATATTCCAAATATTTATATTAAACTCAATAAAATGGTAATCATAATCCAACGAATCTAATAGTTGGAACTAAAAACGCAATGCAACGCAACCTTTGAACCAATTTTTGAGTTTCTACAACTCGTGTTGGAGTATCGGAGAGTGTCGCAGTGTCGGGAAATGTCGGACACCACACGTCAAGATTTTTGAAATGTCGGTGCTTTATAGGTTAGCTCTTTCTTTATTAACTTTTTTTATTATTTTATTCTTATTTTGGATTGCATGGGTTGTCTCAATGTCTAGGTAGAGTACCGTTTGGCTGGAGTATTTTTAATTTCCCTTAGAGAAACTTAATCAAACATATTTTATAAAAAGAAAATTATTATAATTTTTTTTAGGATAAATAAAAAAAATTCATGAGATTTTTTTTTTCAGATGTACTCTAATTTTGAGAAACATTAAAAATAAATTGTTTGGTAAATTTATTTTTAATTTGAGCTTTATAATATTTTTTAAATTATTACTTTTTATATAATTAAATTTTATTTTATAGCTCTTATGTTTTTTTTCCTTTTAACTTTAAAAAACACGCCAAACATATTTGTAGTTAGCCTAATCCGGTCAACGCCTCTACTGCAATTCAAAGCAAATGAAGGTACAACCGGACAGTCACAACTTATGTTGCACTAACACTAATACAGATATATGGCACGACACGCATGATACTATGATACATTAATTTTAAAAAAATGTTAAAATCTGATATGTTAGAATATATTTTGATATTATATAATATTTTTAATTTATGTAGTATATATTATATTTCGTATTCAATAATTTAACAAAAACATAAAGCTAAAATATATCCCAAATATTTATATTAAACTCAATAAAATCGTAATCGTAATTTAATGAATATAAAAGTTGGAACTCAACATGCAACGCAACTAACCTTTGAATCTTTTTTGAATCTTTGCAACGAGTATTAGAGTGTCGAAAAGTATTCGATATGTGACGAAAAATGTCGACACGTGATTTTTGAACTGTGAGTATTTCATAGCATGTTGAACACATCCGAGACAAAGGTGGGGACTTCTTTTTAAAAAAAAGAAAAAAGAAAAAAGAAAAAAGAAAGAAAGAAAATGTGAATGGGGCCGTTAAACTTTGAATAAGAACGATTGCCAGTTGCCCAACCCTACTTACGTCCATGATTGATCATTCCCCCCCACCACAGAAACAGACATGGGACTGACCATATTTTCACTTGAAGAAGACTTTGGGAAACAAAAGCACTACTAGATCAGGTGAAGTCTTTTAAAACTCTTTTCAAAGGAAAGCAAAACGAGGAGGACTAGTGAAAAATTGCCGGCCATCTTAAAATATTACATCAAGTTGGTTTTTATTATGTTCAAACAATCCAATGTATTATTGATTTTTCATTTTAAAAATAAAGTTTGGAATCAAATTTTTAAAATAATATATGATAAAAAATGAGAATCCAAACAACTCCTATTTTGTCGTTTAGTTTTCAAAAATAGAAAACTATTTTCGACAACTAAAATCAAATAATGCCTTAGTTTCCCCTCTTATTTTTTTGTTAAGGGTCTTAATTGAGGGTTTTTTTAGGTTAGGTTGCTTATTTTAATTGGGCCAAGCTTTGCGTAGTTGGATCAAGATTTTCTTTTTCCAACTAGTCATTTAAAAAATAAACAATGGTTAATCATTAGGATAAAATAATAAAGAGGATTACGTAGCTAGAAAATTTAAAAAATGAAGGAATGATTTAAAACTTTAAAGAGATAAAAAAAAAAATAAGAAAACTAAAAAATTGAAAATGTAAAATTAAAATTTTTGAGTTATTAAGTTGGTTCGATTCAATTTCTTTGAGTTGTTTTGTTCATTCTTTTTATTATTTAGCATTGTAGATTCACAATCAGATATAAAGTGTGTCACTACAACACCGATAAGATGCGAGCAGGAAAAGCCAAAAGCTCCTCCGATCAACTTATGCGGATAAGCTCCTTTCTGTTATGAAATATATTTGTGAATGTTTCACCTCCCCACCTATTATGAGTAATGTAATCACTTGTGCATGCAGTTACTGTTTATATACATTTTATATGTGGGATACTATTCGTGTGGGTACTGTTTATAGGTATTGTTCTTGCATGATTTACTATTTAATACTGTTCATGGATACATATGCATATGGTTACAATTCGTATGCGTTTTAGTTCATAGTTATTGTTCATACATTACTGTGGAAATAGTGAAATTTGTATTTCCTATTATAGTGGCTTCGTCCATAGTTCTAAATATTCAAAAGTGACTACACTTTCCTTCTCTCTGGAATTTTCTTCCTTTTTTATATTTTTCCTATCAATTTTATAGTGATCTCTACTATTAGGTCCTAGAAAATCGTATAATAATATACGCTAAGGGATATCTCTATAGGATATTTGACTGGCTTATAGCCAATGATAATCATTGCGCATTATTAGTAGGCGTATAGCCAGAAGGGGTGTTGTGTGTGCTCTATGGTGGCAATGATCACAATTAGGTTTCAAAAAGATGTGCACTTGAGATCTTTAACCTCTTATTTATAAGGGTTACCTTTCTGGGCCCAGGCCCCCATGATTTCCCAGTTGATGTGGGATTCTGCCCCTAATTAATAAGGATAAGGATCTTGTCCTTTGATTTTCATTGTATTCTATTGTTAAGATATGAACGAGATATATTATAATCCCTTATTGGATATGCGGTTAAGATATGGATCCAGTCCATAACAGATGCTCCAAGCCCGGCAGTTCGGAAGCTCGGACTGCTGGGATGACTGAATCTGCCCTACATGTCGATTTTTCTGAAGTATTGCAAGCCTTTTTGGTAAAGGTTAGGAGGTGAAGGTTCCGAGGCTCAAGCTGAAGTTTGTTGTTTTGTTTAATTAGTGACCACACTAGGTCTACCTTTGGTTAAAGTTGACCTGTTTTTTGTCTTCATCTTGGACCTCGATTTACGAGCCTTCTTTATCCAGGTTCCTCATTTGGACACCAAGACTGGTATGATGCCTTATGTTGGCGTCTTTCATGCCAACACGACCCTCTGGCTTCATTCGTCTCTTGACGGTTACACCCTTTCACGTGTCACTTGTTGATTGGCGGTTCGTGCATCATGGAGTATGAGTCGTCCTGAATTATCTCAAGTCATCATGATGTGCATTAAATGCTTTCCCTGGGCAATTACTGCTTTATCCTTGGCCTTTCAGCTCTTCGTTGGCTTTTTGTTTTCCCGCCCAATGATTGCGAACGGTTACACTTATATATATATATATATATATATATATATATATATATATATATATATATATACTTTAGCTTCCCTTCTCCCATTTTTCTGTTTTCAACCTTCTTGTTGGCTTCCTCTCTTTGCTTGGAGCTTAGTTCAGAAGTTATCGCAGAATCATCCTTCTTCTCATTCATTAAACATGTATATTTCAAACACTTACTCTTGCATTTTGTAATTTCCTTTTTGCGTTTTAAGTATTTAGCGTCTGAAACTTTGTGGCTTGAGTTCCGTACTCTTGTGATAGTCTGATTTAAGTATAAGGGTGATTTTGAGGGTTTTTTTAGACTTTGTTGAACCTCCCTTTTCGTTCCCCTAGATCAAAACCTTATGAGATTTCCTTTCCCTTTCGTAGCATTTTTGT